TGCAGGTGGGCGGGCGTTTGGGGGCTGGCCGTCCCCTGCCGCAGGGAGTCTGAGCTAGCGCTCCAGTTCATCCCTTGCCCCGTAAGGACGGAGCTCCAGCACCGGCTTCCCACAGCAGGGAGGGGACATGGGTGGGACTGGCTGGCTGGATCCAGCTCGCTAAAGGGGGCGGGGAAGAGGCTGCTGCTCTCCCTCCCCACTCATGCCCAGACTCCACACCTCCACCCCCCTCCTGCACCCATCTCTAGCCGACACCTCAACCGCACCTCCCACTGCGCTCCTGCACCCTACCTCCTGGCCAGATCCACATCCCCACCCATTCCTGCACCCATTTTGTCAACACGGGTGGTTGGCTGGCAGTCTGCGGAAAGGGCCAAAAAGTTTGAGAACCACCGATCTGTACAAAGCTGACCGTCCCCGTCCCCACCATGACCTCTGCAGAAACAGACCACACAGTGCCGCATGGAGCTTAGAGCAGAGCTGATAGCTAAGGCTTCTGTCTTACAAACACTAATGAACACAGCTCAGCACTTGCACCAATTGCCGGTCTCATCCATGACGGTGACTGCAGGGAAGATGCATTGGCATTAAGCTGTGGGATTGGAACAGAGGAGCCAGGGTGCCTGAGTGCTGCACTTTTGATCTTGTGGAGTAACAGAGTGTTCAGAAGAGGTAGCCAGTGGCCAGGCATCATAAAAGTCCCGTTTCTGTGGCCTTCTTTCCGGACTCTGACTCCAAGGAGTTGGTTTGCACAGACTGATCATTTCTGCCCGTGGCCCAGCGCCTTGCAAATACCACCTGGCCACTGTTGTTAACAGAGACACTGGGCCAAGGAGCCAGACGTGTGTCCAGTCACTTTATTTCCTTTCTGTAAACTCCATACAGTAAATACCATAAATCAGCACTGAAACACGTCAGCGTGCGAATGTGCAAAAGGTGCAAGCACCAAACTGTGCAATGGCCTTACTTCACAATAGTTTCCACGGGGCCACAGGGGCTGCCCCTGTGCAGTGCTGGTTTGCTGGACTCAGGAGAGCTAGGGTTTGGCGGGGAGGGATATCCAGAGTGTCAGGAGCACTTGTTGCTGCTCTCTGGCAGTTCCCTCCAGCTTACCCCACACAATAGGAACATCTACACTGCAATAGAAGACCCACGGCGCAACCATGGCCAGCCCAGATGGATTCAGGCTCAGAGGGCTAAAAATTACAGTGTAGATGCCTCCGCTTTGAGACCCTCCTATGGTTCCAATCAAGCCTGGTGAGAGAAATTCGGGGCCTGGCACATTTTTTGCAAAAGCAAAAAAACTTGCCAGCTGTCTACACTGGCCACTTGAATTTCTGCAAGAACACTGACGATCTCATGTAAGATTGTCAGTGTTCTTGTGGAAATACTATGCTGCTCCCATTCAGGCAAAAGCCCTCTTGCGCAAATGCTTTTGCACAAGAGGGCCAGTGTAGACAACGTGGTATTGTTTTGCGCAAAAAAGCCCCGATGGCGAAAATGGCGATCGGGGCTTTCTTGTGCAAAACCGCGTCTAGATTGGCACGGACGCTTATCCGCAAAAAGTGCTTTTGTGGAAAAGCGTCCGTGCCAATCTAGACGCTCTTTTCCGCAAATGCTTTTAACGGAAAAACGTTTCCGTTAAAAGCATTTGCAGAAAATCATGCCAGTCTAGACGTAGCCATAATGTTTGCTGAGGTCCTATCCCTTCCCATTTCACCTCAGTTACAGATGTTTTGGGGGTTCCCCTGTGCCCCCTTTTCTCCCCTCAGGTCAGCCTTGATGCCATTGTTATGCTGTGTCCATGGTTGGGCCTAGTAGTCCCAGTCATGGCCTGGAATCCCATGGTGCTAGGCGCTGCGAAACAGAACAAAAAGTCCCTGCCCCAAAGAGCTTCCAGTCTAAGGCATAGTTCCAGCAGCGGCTCTATTTACATCAAAGAACACAGCTGGGGTTTAGATGAAGGGTAACATTTTCAAAAGTTCCTAAGTGACTTAGGAGCCACTGGCTGCATTTTCAAAGGTATTTAGGTGCCTAACGGTGCTGCTAGGCACCTAAAGGGAGTTTCAAAAGCAGCTAGGTGTCTTAACTCCACACCCATGGGCATTAGACATCTAGGCACCCCAAGTACCTTTAAAAATCTCAAACTCCATTTTCAAAAGAGACTAAGGGACTTAGGAGGCTAAATCTCAGGGGCTTTATCTGCAATTTAGGATGGGATTTTTGAAACATGACTGGTGATTTTGGGTGCCTTGTTGGGGGGAGGGGAGAAAGACAGCGTGAGACACCTTACAGTCCCGATCTTCATAAAGCGCCAAACACCCACCCTCAGAAAGTCAGGCCCCCCTCAATTGCTCTAAGGATGTTAAGGACTAGTCCACTATCTGACCCCGGCTCCATGTGGCATTTTAAAACCGCAACGCCGCGTGGACCCCAGGCTCCATGTTGTGCTGTGGCTTTGAAATGCACAAGAGCCTGAGTGCAACGCCGCGCGGACCCCAGGCTCCATGCTGTGCTGTGTCTTTGAAATGCACAAGAGCCTGAGGCAGACTCTTGTACCTTTCAAAGCTGGCACACCCTGTGCAGCCCAGAATCAGCAGGACTTCCCTCTGGCCCCAGGCTGCACAGGGGGTTCTGCATTCCTCCTTTGAAATGTACAAGAGCCCCTCCGGGGGCTCTTGTACATTTCAAAGGAGGAATGCGGAAATGCCTATCGACTAGTCAATGAAAATTCCATTGACTACTCGACTAGTCAATTAACTGATATGTAACATCCTTAAATCACTCCCCACTTCCATTCACTAGCCCCTTTTGAAAATCTTGCCTAGGTCAGTTTTGAAAATGGGACTTGGGGTCAAATTTCCAAAAGCAGCTAAGTGACAGGAGCCCAAATCCCATTGCCTTTCAGTGAGATCTATACCCCTAAGGACCAGCGTCTCAGACATATTTAGGTGCCTGACTCCCAGTGACATGTGTGTGAGTTAGGCACCGAAGCACCTTTGAGGCTCCAGCTCTAAGGCACTTGACGACCCTTAGATGTACGGGACAATTCGACCCCCTCTTGCCATATTGGGAACCTAAACTCATCAGCACCCACCAGAAAGTGAAAGTGCCCAGTACTATCTGCCTCAACCAAAGTCAAAGGCAAAAGAAAAGTGAAAAGCCGACATGTGGCAAGTGACCTTGGAGGTGACGTGCCAAAGACACTCTGGGCTGTTGGGCACCTATTGAAAATCAGTTGAGTCTGCGGAGCGAGTTGCCTGCTGCCTTGGAAAATCCCCCTCTCTGATCTGAAAACTTCCCTCGGTTTAACAGCGTGGGGGGCTGCTGGCAATGTGGCAGCAGCAGGCAATTTGTTGCTTAACAATGGCTGAGTAACACGGAGTTAACTGAGGTAGCTTCCTCGCCTGCATGGTGGGGGACAGATATGCGGGGCTGAAGCCTCCCATCCAGGAGATCTTACAAACTAATCAAGAACTAAGAAAGCACACCTGGGCAGCCAGAGACAACCAGCAAGGATGTGTAGCAAAGAAGCTAAATGGCAGGTTATAGCAGAGCTGGGTGTTGGGAGAACTAGTTAATTTCCTGCATCAGACGCCTCACAATAAACACTTGGGATAAAAACTTTCTCTGTGAAATGTATTTGTCCTGGTCCTGCTCCCCATCTTGCACCGTCTATCACGGCCAGGATTTTTAACGAAACTAATGCTGCCACACCATGTTCGTGCCTCTTGGGAACAAAATTCTGCAGCTGGAGTCAAAGTGCCGATTCCGCCAGTGATGCGGGAGGCAGAATACAATCCAACGCTTTCTTCCAGAGCTGGATCAGCTCTGCGGGGCTCCAGCGATCCGTCTCCAGCTACAGCCAATCTCTGCTGCTTCCGACAAAGGCAGGAAAAAAAAACCTAACCTCCAAAGACATCTGGCCCAAATTCCTTCCTGATCCCTGCAGGCCACCAGCAGAAGCCCTGAAACATGAGAGTGCCCATTTGCACATCCTCATTGCATGCTGGGGAAAGCTCGGCAGGTTTAAGAGGAGCTGCACTGCACCTGTTCTATGGAGTCCCTATGGCCCATTGTGTGCCTGGCTGATACATTAGTGCCATTCAGGGTAACCCAAATGTTGAGTTCCTGCTTCCTTGGTGCACACTGAGCTAAGGTGAAAAGGACTCTAACTCCCTCTCCTATCCTGGCTGTGCAGGTGAAAAAACTTGTTTTCATCCTTAAAGCTAACCGGGACTGATCTGAGAGAAACCAACACTGATTCTGGTTTTAAATCCACAGGGTACATCTACACAGTGATTAACCCCTGAGAGTCAGCTGACTCAGGCTTGTGGGGCTTGGACGGCAAAGCTGTAAAATTAGTGTAGACGTTCAGGCTGGAGAGATCTGCCCCCCATCTAACAGGCCAGAGAACGCCTGTCCTGACCCCAATATCTCACACCCTCCTACGGCCATGTTTCTAACTGAAACAGCATTCACCTAAAAATGCTGTGCACGCAAAGTCCTCCAGTTAAGCTGGCCTAGCCTTAAAAGCCCCCAGTGCTTATACCAATGCATCCATTGAAGCTGGGTCTATTTACAAAGCCCTGGCGGCAAACACCCTCCCCAACCACTGTCTTTTGGGATTTTCCTTTAAAGGGCCGGGGGGAAGAGGTAGTCACAGACTATGCAGCGCTACTGCCCCCTACTGGCGCCGGGCTCTGCTGCTGCACATCTCCGGCTGGTGTCACCACTGTGTGTCCTGGGAGCCATTCCAGCTGTGATCCAGTCTAGAGGAGAGAAGGCATAAAGGCAGTGAGCTGTCCACTGGCCCAGATTTTGTCCTCTGCTCGAGCTGGCAGGCCAGGGGAGAATTCCCACTGTGTACCTTAGAGACCCCACAGAGGGGGGCCAGAGCCCTCCATGTTTGCCCCCTCTGGCTTTGCCTACACCCACGTTATTTTGCACAGGGGTGACGTGCACCAGCACGTGCATCTACACGTCTGGTCTGAACTGGAGCAGTTACACCAGCACGAGGCTCCCCCCGGGTTCACGCTGGAAGCCAGGACGACAGGGTGCCATTCATCGCTCGCTTCCCTTCCCTGAAGGTAATCACACTGACCTACCTAGGGGTGAAGGGTTAAGAGCCCCTCCTGGGGGGGGACGGGGACACAGGCAAACAATTCAGGAGCAGGAACAAAAAGGGGAAGGTGAGGGAGGGAGGGGGATTTCAGAGGCTTCCACTTTAGCCCTCATTCCCCTGAAGGCAGGGGGCTCCAGACTCCCCCAGCCCAGCTGAACTCGCCGCCCCCCACAACCAGCCTGAGGGGTACCGGGGATCAACTCACTGTCGGATGCAGTCGGGGATCTGCACTTGCTCAAGAGGAATGTGCTGAGACAGCTCCCACAGGCTGTCCATGAACTGCACTTTCCTGCCAAACTTGGAGCTGGGAGTGAAGGGAGAGGGTAATTTATTCAGGTTACCAGAGTGGTTGATTTCTCATCAAGGCACCTCACAGGGTGCCGAACTGACAGCCCTCCCGTCTGCTCTGTTCTACCCAGGTTCCTGACCTGCCCCCGGCACCTTCCGCTAACTCGTTAAGCAACACGATTACTGGCCACAAAGCAGCCACCGCATGGATAGCACTGTGGTGTGCCTCCCGCGTCCCCATGCACAGCGCCTGGCCAGTGTCCCGTCTCCGGCTGCAGCCAATCTCCGTTGCTTCAGAGGAAGGCAGGAAAACCCCCTAACCTCAGAATACAACCGGCCCAAATTCCTTCCTGACCCCTGCAGGCCACCAGCTGAAGCCCTGAAACATGAGCGTCCCCATTTGCACATGCCGGGGAAAGGGCCGTAGGTTTAGGGGAATCTACAGTGCACACCTTCTATGGAGTCCCTACGGCCCATTACATCCGTGGCCTCTCAGCTGACATGGCTGATACATTTGTGCCATTCAGGACAGACCAAGTGTTGAACCCTGCCAGCTGATTGCATGCAGGCCCACAAACAGCCGGTCGATCCCAAGCTGGATCGGAACCAGCGATCTGTTGGCAAAAGGTGCGCGGGTGTGGTGCAAATGGGCGTAAACTAATGGAGCTATGCAGGCAAGGATCTGACCCTTGTGTCCCCAACTCCTTGTGAGCCAGCCAGTACTTTTGTGCAGCATAGCTACTGTTTCACACGTGAAAGGCTTTTCCGTGCAACAGTGCGTTATAGCGGAGAGAACGCTACAGTACAGGTTAAATGCCCCTTCGCAGCATTGCTAGTGTGGTGCAAATGGGCGTAAACTAATGGAGCTATGCAGGCAAGGATCTGACCCTTGTGTCCCCAACTCCTTGTGAGCCAGCCAGTACTTTTGTGCAGCATAGCTACTGTTTCACACGTGAAAGGCTTTTCCGTGCAACAGTGCGTTATAGCGGAGAGAACGCTACAGTACAGGTTAAATGCCCCTTCGCAGCATTGCTAACCCAAGCCTGTAAAGACCTTTTTCTGTGGGTTTTCTGTGATTAATTCGCACTTGGGCTATGTCTACACTACGGCTGTGTCTACATTGGCAAGACACACTACAGCTGTGTCTACATTGCCTGTCTACACTGGCCACGAGTATTTGTGCAAGAACACTGACGTTGTAATGTACAAAATCAGTGCTTCTTGCGCAAATACTTTGATGCTCCCGCTCAGGGATAAGCCCTCTTGTGCAAGTATTCTTGTGCAAGAGGCCAGTGTAGACAGCAACGTTAATTTCTTGTGCAAGAAAGCCCGATGGCTAAAATGGCCATCGGAGCTTTCTTGCGCAAGAGAGCATCTACACTGGCATGGAATATAAAGCACATCTTTTGCGCAACAGCACATGCCAGTGTAGATGCTCTCTTGCGCAAATACTTTTAACGGAAGTTTTTCCGTTAAAAGTATTTGCGCAAAATCATGCCAGTCTAGCTGCAGCCTACATGTTTTGCCGGAAGAGGCAATGCAAATGAAGCGCGGATTAGCATTTTCTCACACTTCATTTGCATAAACTCTTCGGATCCGTTTTTGCGCAAGAGGTTTTTGCGTGAAAACAAGCAGTGTGGACATTTCCTTTTTGAGCAAAACCCCCTTTTTGCGCACGATCCTTATGCCTCTTCATTATGCTAACGAAGTGCAAGAAAATGCTAATCTGCGCTTCATTCGCATTGCCTCTTCCGACAAAACCCGTAGTGTAGACATAGCCTGGGTGCAAGATCAGGACTCGTGCGTGCACACGGCTGAAGTGGAACTTTTGAAACGGACTAGTATTTTGCCGCGTTAATGTCATGTAGCTAAAAGGGTGTTACAAGGAGGAGGGAGAAAAATTGTTCTCCTTGGCCTCTGATGATAGGACAAGAAGCAATGGGCTTAAATTGCAGCAAGGGAGGTTTAGGTGGGACATTAGGGGAATTTTCTTAACTGTCAGGGTGGTTAAGCACTGGAATAAATTGCCTAGGGAGGTTGTGGACTATCCATCCTTGGAGAATTTTAAGAGCAGGTTAGACAGACACCTGTCAGGGATGATCAGATGGTGCTTGGTCCTGTCGTGAGGGGACTGGACTTACTAACCTCTCAAGGTTACTTCCAGTTCTATGATTCTGTCTGTCTCTGAGGGACCCACTAGACACCCCTGAAAGGGGCTCAATTTTCAGAGGGTTAGGACAGTCACAAGTCAGGCCTTAAAGAAATCATGAGGTTTTTTTTTTTCTTTTTAAAAATTCTTTTTTTCTGTTGTCTGGTCTTTTAGACTTTTCTATCCACTGGGTCACATACCAGGGTTTTCTCTGTGACCAGGAAGGCTGGAAATACCCTTCTTTTTTAAAAAAAGCCAAGATTCTCCTGTAATCACTTGTATGGGAGCTGGGGTTTTAAGTCAGGAATAAAACCTGGAGAGAGTTGGCAGCATTGCTGGTGCTTGGGGCTGTCTGCAAAAACCAGATTCCTTGGGGATATCTCCAATTGGCCCCTGAATCACAAAACCATTGGTCCAAATTCTTGCAGCTATGTCAGCGTGCTGGTGCACGGATCCCTCTCTAGCACCATGGGGATGCAGATATCCGCGGTTCATTTTTTACGCATGCGGATGCGGATACAAAGTGTGTAGCTAGAACCCTGAATATTTGTGGATATCCTTTTATAGCCACGAGGATCATGTTTGCAGATGTGGATACACATTTTGTATCTGTACAGGGCACTACCTGTAACTGACTCACAGCTGTTTGCCCAGCAATCTCAGCTGTGTGCAATCTAGCTGTTGTTCTGGCGGGACTGTGATACAAACTGGTACCTTTAACAGACACAACTCTGCCCTCTGCTGAGCAACACGTGTCCAGCTGCCTTGTGCCTACGGGTGCCCATATTTGTTGACCAGTCTGATTTAGGGGTTTAGCGCTTCCCCAGACCACAGAGCTGCTGCCAAGGGGGAGAGGGAATGGCTGTGCCCTACAAGTATAGGTGTGATGTTTTTGCTAATTCCAGGTAAAGCTTTAGCTGGCAGGGGAAATCCAAATCTTTACCTAGTGCCCATTGCCACCATATTCGGACACCTAAGGCATGCAAAAAAATCCGGGGCTAGAATCTTACCCTGCACCCATCACCATGGTGTCTGGTCACATAGAGGATGCTGGCAGAGTGCATCTAAGAAATCTGAGCTAGAACCTTGCTCCCTGCTGCCCTACTCCATGCACCCGTGTCGCTAGCAGCCCCACTCTCTGGCATGCAGAGCCCTGGCCTGCTACACTAGCAGCTGCCCGGAGTCCCAGACTCAGGGTATGTCTACACTACCCTCCTAGTTCGAACTAGGAGGGTAATGTATGCATACCGCACTTGCTAATGAAGCCCGGGAAATTCAAATCCCGGGCTTCATTAGCAAGTGCGGTATGCATACATTCCCCCGCTAGTTCGAACTAGCGGGGGAATGTATGCATACCGCACTTGCTAATGAAGCCCGGGAAATTCAAATCCCGGGCTTCATTAGCAAGTGCGGTATGCATACATTCCCCCGCTAGTTCGAACTAGCGGGGGAATGTATGCATACCGCACTTGCTAATGAAGCCCGGGAAATTCAAATCCCGGGCTTCATTAGCAAGTGCGGTATGCATACATTCCCCCGCTAGTTCGAACTAGCGGGGTAGTGTAGACATACCCTCAAGGAGGAAATGTTGCTGAAAGGGTGAGAAAAACCCTCTGCAAGGGACAGCCTGCGGGGGAAGGGAGTTAGAGCAGGTGGATGGATACTGCAGGCTGGGGAGTTGCCAAACCCCTTGCACGTGCATGTGTACCACACACACACACACACACACACACCCCTTTGTTGGTAGCCTTCTCTCACAGGCCAAGTAAAGAGTCCAGCTCACACTACCTGAGGAAGGGGCGGATAACAGCCATCAGCGCCTTGATGTACCAAGTGGGGTGGACAATAATCATGGCCTTCAGGTTCTTCCGGAGCCTGAAGCCAAACCCCTTGCACGTGCATGTGTACCACACACACACACACACACACACACCCCTTTGTTGGTAGCCTTCTCTCACAGGCCAAGTAAAGAGTCCAGCTCACACTACCTGAGGAAGGGGCGGATAACAGCCATCAGCGCCTTGATGTACCAAGTGGGGTGGACAATAATCATGGCCTTCAGGTTCTTCCGGAGCCTGAAACAATGCAAAGCAGACAGGCCACAATGTATCAATTAGCCAGTGGAACTCTCTGCCACAAGCTGTCTCTGAAGCCAAGAGTTCAACACCATTGACAGCAGGGTCAGACGTTGATCCAGCCAATCAGTCTCCCATGCTCCAGTGGTCAGTGCCGAGGCTGGTGTTGAAGATGGCGAAGGGGGGCCTTTGAAAATCTGAAATCCAGGAGTTTGGAAGGGCTTTGAACCCCCCCTCTTCCTAGCACGATCCAATGGCTAACTACTGGAGGCCAGGAGGAGGTTTCTGGATGTGCCCCAGGTCCAAAGCAGGGCTTCTGACGTCCTGGAGCCTTTTCTTTTAAAGATAGCAAAACGCTTGGTCCACACGGAGAAACTGACCAGGGTAGCTCCCCATATCGGCACTCTATTCTGGAATAAAAGTCACTTTGTTCTGGAGTAAATCCTATGCTCCCAAAACCAAGAGGCTGGGAGCTGGCACGCCAGAGAGAGCCACAGGGGCTGCCCTCCATCCAGCAGCCTCATTAGAGAACCCTCCTTTATATTCACCACCACCCGTCATGGTCCCTTTTCCTGCTCCCTCCAGGGGAGGCTGCAGTTTCCATCCTCAGCCCGGTGGGGATTTTCACTTATGGTCCAGCCTGTATCAGTGTCAGCTTCACCGGCTTTCATGCTGTGCGAATCAGGTAGGAAGCGGCTGGTTTCCTATTTCCAATGGCGCAGGGACGGAGATTCTGGCTAGGTTTCAGGGGGAGGGAGGTCTAGGGATTAAGAGTGGGGTGGTCGGGATGGGAATTAGATCTGTGTTCTGTGCCCAGCTCTTCTGTGAATTTCTGATGTATTCCTGGCTCACCAGAGGGGAGTGGAAGGGGGACAGGGGCTAACAGCAGAGAGAGAGCTCCCCCTTCATGAGTTGGACAAGCAGCGTTACTCCCGGTGTTTCAGTCCCCTGCCATAGCTCACCGCCTGTTAATGGTCTGGTAGCATTGCTTTATCCAACTGAAGGACGGGACCTGGCTGCGGAGCGTGGCACCGTTCAGACACACCAGTATGTAGCTTTCTGCCACCATCACCTCCAGCGTCCCGATGATATACCTGCCAGGAGAGCAGAAAGGAGGTCCAGCGATGCAGCCTGGAACCAGCCCTCGGTGAGACACAAAAAGTGACTGCACACTGCAGTTGTGGGTTCAGCTTCACATCACCCCAGCAGCAAGGTGAATTGTCTTATCCCCTACCCCTTTTTCACAGGTGGGGGAAACGGAGGCACAGAGCCAGGCTGTGCGCAGCTCAAGGTTACACAATGAGTCAAGAAAAGAACCCCAGGAGTCCTGCCTCCCTGTCACTTGGGCTAACCAATAGGCCATACTCCCCACCCAGAGCTGGACAAAGAACCCAAGAGTGCTGACTCCCACCCTCTCTCCCCTCACCACTAGACATTACTGTCCTCCCAGATCAGGGACTAAAATCCATGAGTCATGACACCCAATTACCTGCACAAACCACAGCCCAGAGCAAGGAACAGAATCTAGGGGCCCAAGCGCCTGAGTTCCTTCCTGTAACTACTAGGCCTCACTCCCTCCCTACTAACTCATATTCTAACCCAGGCATTTAACCCTTCCTGCACCAGCAGCTTCTGTCCTGACCAGTGCAGGGACAGTCCTAACAGATGGTCTGGGAATAGAAGAAACGTGCGAGTGAGTTCAGGAGGGGAACGGCCAATGTTCCCCGTGACGGTGCTGCCAGTAGCCAGGCAGGGCTGGGGAGGAGACTGTGACGTGAGAAAGGGGTTTGTTTTAAAGGGGGGGAGGTTGGCACTTCAAAGGGTCAATTTACCAGGGGCAGAGAAACGGGAGGTTCCAAGGATCCTGGGGCAAAGGAGCCCGCCCCCGCTTCGCCCCCGTGGACCGCAGGCCGACTCAGGGATGTATCCGTACCTTCTGCTCTCAGCATCAGGGCCCCAATCTCCAACTGTGACGTGAGAAAGGGGTTTGTTTTAAAGGGGGGGAGGTTGGCACTTCAAAGGGTCAATTTACCAGGGGCAGAGAAACGGGAGGTTCCAAGGATCCTGGGGCAAAGGAGCCCGCCCCCGCTTCGCCCCCGTGGACCGCAGGCCGACTCAGGGATGTATCCGTACCTTCTGCTCTCAGCATCAGGGCCCCAATCTCCAGCCACCCTGCCCCTGAACTCAGGGTTGGGGGGGGGGTTAAGCTGCCTTTGAGCTTCTCCCTCCATCATTTTGGAGCTCACGAGTAAGTTACAGGAGCTCTGGGGATTCTACCACAAGCAGGAGGAGTTCCCATCACAGTCTGCTCTTTTCCCATTGTCACTTTCCCCTGGGGGGGGTCCCAGAGCCACCCCTAGCCCCCCGCCCTCTCCGCGGCTATTCCCCGTGGGGCTCGATCCCCAGCCAGCAGGGGGCAGCGCGCTCACCGGAACAGGTGCTCCATGATGTACTGGTAGTCCGGCACAGTGCTGTGGGGCAGGTAGCAGGAGGCAAAGAGGATGATGGCGGTGAGGCCTTCTCCGTAGTATCCTGGAGCGGCAGAGCAAAGGGAGTGGGTCCAACCAGCCCATGTACCCCTCCCCCATGGCCCTCTTGTTCTCCCCCATGGGGGAGCTTTGGGATTTGCCCAGATCAGGTCTATTTGGCGGCTTTGCTCAGCCCCAGACCCAGCACAGATGGAGTTGCCATGGCGATCCATGGTGCTCTGGGGGCCACAGGCTGGGGGAAGTGGGTTTGTTCCGGCAGGCTCAGATACCGGGGTCCTGTAGGGCTGCGGTTGTGGATTTCTTCTCTTGTTCTCCCCCATGGGGGAGCTTTGGGATTTGCCCAGATCAGGTCTATTTGGCGGCTTTGCTCAGCCCCAGACCCAGCACAGATGGAGTTGCCATGGCGATCCATGGTGCTCTGGGGGCCACAGGCTGGGGGAAGTGGGTTTGTTCCGGCAGGCTCAGATACCGGGGTCCTGTAGGGCTGCGGTTGTGGATTTCTTGGGGCAGAAGCCTCCTCTGATTGGCCGCACTTGCTACAACTGGTAAAGTGCCTGCGTTACTGACGGGCAGCATGTAAATCATCGCTCGGGGACCCCGTCCCCTCCCAGAGCCGGGAATGGAACCCAGGAGTCCTGTCTCCCAGCGCCCTCCTGCTCTGACCACTAGGCACGACTCCCCTCCGAGAGTCAGAAAAAGAACCCAGGAAGCCTGCTGCCTCCCATTCTGAGCACGCGGTCCCAGGCTACGACTTCTCGTTACCCCCGTGGGAGAGGACCCTCTTGTAGGGCTCGACCACACTCAGATCCACTTTCTGTTCCTGCTCGTCCGTCAGGAAGATCCTCCACTTCCGTCCGTCCTTGTCCTCGACATCCACCATGCGCCCCTCACTGAGCTTCTCCTCGAGCAGGCTGCTGTCCAGGCGCCGGGCTCTGGGCAGGTCATCTGCGGACGGGAGGGAGGGGAATGAGGGGTAGTAGGAAAGGCTTCTCGGCTCTAAGTGCTGCGTAACCAGAGAGTGCCGGGGGCGCATGAAAGGGGGGTCAATGGGTGTGGGGGAACCAGGCCAGGGAAAGAAGAATTACAGTCCCCAAGTGACCCCAGTTTTCTCCCAAATCTTCCCTCACAGCCCAACTCTCCCGGAACCTTCTAGCCAAACCACAACCAACCATCCCCGGCCGCAAGTCTCTCACCCCCAACTCCTCCAACCAAACCCCAACCCCTGCTCCACATTCAACCTCTCAACCTCCCAGCCCCTCCACATCCCAACCCCTCATCCCACCAACCAACCCTCGGCTCCCCAACCCCTCTCCTCAACCAACCAACGCTCAACCCACCCCTTGACCCCACTCCCACCCTCTCACACCTCCAACCAACCCTTCACCATTACCAACCTAACCCGCAACCCCACCCCCAATTCCTCACCCCAACCATCCCCTCGCCACAGCCAACCAACCCCTCACTCCCCAACCAACTCAACCAACCCCTCACCGCTACCAGCCCAACCCTCAACCCTACCCCCAGTTCCTCATCCCAACCATCCCCTCACTCCAACCAACCAACCCCTCACTCCCCAACCAACTCAACCAACCCCTCACCGCTACCAGCCCAACCCTCAACCCTACCCCCAGTTCCTCATCCCAACCATCCCCTCACTCCAACCAACCAACCCCTCACTCCCCAACCAACTCAACCAACCCCTCACCGCTACCAGCCCAACCCTCAACCCTACCCCCAGTTCCTCATCCCAACCATCCCCTCACTCCAACCAACCAACCCCTCACTCCCCAACCAACTCAACCAACCCCTCACCGCTACCAACCCAACCCGCAACCCCACCTCCAGTTCCTCACCACAACCAACTAACCCCTCAATCTCAAACCCTCCCCCCAACCAAGCCCTCAACCCCTCCCTTTCCCCCTCACCTCCCCAACCAACACTCAACCCACCCCTTGACCCCACTCCCACCCTCTCACACCTCCAACCAACCCTTCAACTCTACCCACCAACCCCTCACCCTCCACCCAGCCTCTGACCACTACCAACCCAACCCACAACCCCACCCCCGGTTCCTCACTCCAACCAACCAACCCCTCGCTCCCCAACCAACTCAACCAACCCCTCACCGCTACCAGCCCAACCCTCAACCCTACCCCCAGTTCCTCATCCCAACCATCCCCTCACTCCAACCAACCAACCCCTCACTCCCCAACCAACTCAACCAACCCCTCACCGCTACCAACCCAACCCGCAACCCCACCTCCAGTTCCTCACCACAACCAACTAACCCCTCAATCTCAAACCCTCTCCTCAACCAACCAAGCCCTCAACCCCTCCCTTTCCCCCTCACCTCCCCAACCAACACTCAACCCACCCCTTGACCCCACTCCCACCCTCTCACACCTCCAACCCACCCCCCAACTC